ACAGACGTGCCATCCGGTAACGGGTATGTCGCCCCAGAGGCAATGATGGGATCAGAAAAGGCAATAAAAGGCAGTGCAATGTTCACAAAGGCATTACGGTATATGCTAAGCTGTTTCTGTATCTCTTCATACGTGGGAACCGCATTGGCCGGCATCCCACTCCTCTCTTGCCGTTGGGTCATGAGAAGACGTTTGAGTACCTCCAATCCAACCAGACCCGTGACCAATGCTGTGGTTGTCACCATTGCTGGAATAATTTTCCCTGCAATGCGCTTTGTATGATGGACATCCGCAGGAGGAATGTTGTATGCGACGGCACGCATGTTGGAACAGGCTGTGATATACTCCACATGATGGTTGGTCGGATCGTCCTTCTCAAAGAACTCGGGAACCATGCGACGCCCATGAAACTCACTCACCGGCGGCAGATCCTGCAAGCCAATTTCAGCAGCAAGATTTGCCACAGATTCCTCCTTCTCCGCTTCACTGGTTGCAAAGACGGCTTGACGCGGAACAAACTCTGGAACACTTGTCTCCCCCGCCACACGCGCCACATCCGCTCGGGAAAGCGTGAATGGTGGCAGACCGTACACACACGCAAGCAAGTAGGCACAGTGGTAAACAAACGACATGCTCAACTCTGAATCGGGTGAAAACTCCTGCGGGGTTGGCGGCTTTTTCGCACCGCTCCAAAAAAGCTCGCCATTTTCATTGCGCTTGTCGATCGGAATGTTGTAGAGCAACTGTCGGAAGGCATCACTGAAGTACTCGTGATACAGCCTTCGCGCGATCCGTACGCAATCCGCTGCGTCCATCGGCCACCGCAACAGCGCATCCCGAACCGCTTTTAATGCCATTGTTTTGGTGGCAGGATCACGCTCCAGATTTGCCGCAAAAGTGGTCGGGTCCTGCAGGTATGAATTAACCTCCTCGGGCGTATTGGTAAAGAGAACATGAAAGTTGTCACGTGCCCACTGAATTGTGTGCTCAATGGCATTGGGGAAGTTCTTCAAGGTGCAGAGCGGAATCGCCTTCTCTGGTGGGTCATGGCTGCTGCTGTAGCTCTCCGTACAGTATGGAATGATACACTGCACATTGCACTTTGTCCCCAGCGTCCCACTCTCAAAAAGTGGCTTCTTGTAAAAGAGACAACGACTATCCACATACTTGCGGCTCTGTACATTGTCCAAAGCGTTTAGTACAACCGCGTGAGAGTCCCAAAAGGCTTCATTAAAGATACCCTCCGTCTCGACTGAAACCTTCTCCACAAAGGAGGTCACATGCAGGTCATGGTTAATAGCCATCGCCGCCTCACCCGCCACCCGTGACTTGTGCTGCCCAATGTGACTGTTACGAAATAGAAACTGGCGCGAAAGGTTACTGATCTCAATGCTGTCCATGTCTGTAATGGAGATGCCTCCAAAACCCATGCATGCAGCGTTCTTGATGAGCTCGCAACCCAGCGCCCCGGCACCAATGATGAAGGCCCGCTGCTTCGATAAGTATGACTGAAACGCCGCCCCAAGAACAGCAATCTGTTTGTCATATCGGCTGCCCGTCGGGGATGGGGGACGAAGATCCGCTTCTGCGACCTCGCCACGAGCCACAAGCAACTCCCTTGCATCATAATACAGCCACTGCTGTATGGGTGTAAACTTGCCACTGCACACCTTGAGCACTTCCTGTGAAGCGATGCCTGCAATCAGGCACGCCATTGGGTTCAGATTGCCATGAATCACGGAAAGAGCCTTCTTGGAAAATTCCACATCGAGATGGCCACTGTTGCAGCTGCTGTGGTATGCCTCTGCCAAATTCAACAGACTGTTCACTTCCGTGGGTGTTGTTGGCAATGTGCCATGATCATGCAGGGCACGAAACAATGCGTGCAACGTAGCTGGGGCATTCACTTTCTCTTCACTATCAAAGATGGAGACAAACGTCGGATCGGCAACACTTTGCTCCAAGTCCTTAAATCCCATGAGTACGTGTCGCTTTGTTGTGTGAAGGTAGGCGCCGGTGCCGACCTCAATGGGGCTATTTCCCACTGCCGCCTCAAAATCTTTCAGACGCAGAATGAAAGGGGATATGACTTCCGCCACTTCAAACAACTTCAGTAACGGAGAGGCGGCACTTTGACAGCGGCCATGAATCGTGGACGGGTCAATGTCGGCGTTCACAGCGGCAGGTGACACGACGCCGGTAAAGAAGATATGGCTCCCAACCTCGCACTCATGCTTCTTGTCCTCATGCAAAGAGACGACGCCGTCGCGCGAGACGCTCGTCACGATGCAGGAGACCGTCTCCTCGCCATCGGGGTCCAAAACGCTGAAGGACGGTCCCGCATCCACAAACACGCAACCCACGATGCCACGGCTTTCACACGCCACAAACTTCACGTCATGCTTCCGCGCAAGTGCATTTTCGCCGACGAGCGCGGTGGTGCGTTGGTTCACGAAAACCACAACGTGGACGTCTGGGATCACCTCGTGCAGCGGACTCGTCACGGCGGTGATATGGACAAAACGATTCAATTCCTGCGCCCTACGCGCCACCACATCCGCCCGCGGTTGACCGACGTCTTGGGGGGTCAAGAAAAAGTTCGTGCCCAGATCCTGCAGAATCGCGGTACCACTGTCCATAATTTTGATGGAGCGAACGCCAGTGAGCGCGAGATTCTTCACAATCTCCGCCCCAAGCCCACAGGCACCAACGACAAGAACATCCGTGCTGCCGTACTTTGCCTGCGTCTCGACGCCCACAACATACTCCTGCCGATTGTACAGCTGACGCTTCTCCTCCTCGTGCTTCATTTCGCCCAAACCCCTTTATTTCTCCCTCGTTGTTGTTGTTGTTTCTTTGTGTGTGTTTTGCTTCTTCTTCTGCACCCTCCCAATTCCACGGCGAAACCCGCTTTGAGAAGTTTTGAAAAGAAAGGGGAAAAAAGGGAAAAAAAAAAAAAAAACGTGGATATTAGCCTACAACAATCACTGGCTCCTTCTCCCTCTCCTCGCCACCCAAGTATTGTGCGTCTTTGATATTTATCCTTCTTTCCCCCCAACCTCCCCCTATGATCACCTTGTTTTTTGTTGTTGATTGGTTGGGTGATTTGTTGTTGTCGCTTCTTTCTCTGTAATAAAGATGTCTCTCTCAAAGTCATTCAGGGCCATTGCACACATTCAATACGAATAAAAAGAAGAGTTGAAAAAAAAAAAAAAAAAAAAAAAGAGGCATAAATACATATATTTATATATGCATACATGCATAGATGGATTTCATCCACACATGAATGTGCAGTGCGTCTGCCTACAGGGCATGTACCGTCGCACACACATGTATAAAATTCGGTGCGAAAAGAAAAAAGAAAAAAAGAAGAAAAGAAGAAAAAAGAGGAAGGCATGCGTACACGCAGACATTTACAGAATTCATCTCCGGCTTTCTCTATCTCTATTTCTCCCTCTCTTTTTCTGTTTCTTTTACTTCTTTCTTTCTTTTTTTCTTGTTGTTTGCGCATTCTCACCTCAACACCATCACTCCACCCCCCAACTCCCATATCACCACCACCAGCAGTGGCGCCAAGTGAAGCAAGCAGGAACGAAAGAGTGAGGAAAAAAAAAAAAACGGTGGTCGCAGCAGCCAAATATAAACCGTCATTACTGCCCCGTGGAAAATGAGAAAAGAAAGAAAATGAAGACAAAAAAAAAAAAAAAAGCTCCACCACCACTACGCAAGCAGGAAACACAAATCATCAGCAGCACCAAAAAGCGACTCTATTCTGAGAAGGGATTTTTCCCTCCCCCCCCCCATCCTCCACAGATACACACCGTATGTGTGGGGAAGGAGGGGGAAAAAAAAGGAAATAAATAAATAAATAAATAAATAAAATAAATAAAAATAAAAAAAAAACAATACAGAATAAAGACTACTGCTCCTACAAATAACAAACATAAAACAAAGGATTTTTTTTTTTTTTAAACTACTGCAAGAAAGAAAAAAAAAAAAAAACCTTCGAGAAGTATTTCAAATCACACCATTGCGTATTTGTATTTTTGTGTATGTATGCACGTATGTATATATAAGCGTATGTGTGTGTATGCCAATAGGAAGATGGTATTATATGCATGCATATATATATAATATACGTATAAAAGATATTTTGCCTCTCTCTCTCTCTCTCTCTCTCTCCCAACCTCTCTACTTCAGCGTATGTGAGTGTTTGCGTGCACGGCTCGTGCACTCACGTTTCCTGACTCTCATATTTTTTCTATTCGGCCTTTTTCACTGTTTCATGGCAAATACTCGCACTTTTCCACAGAGCGTCCACCTTTTAGCCCTTCCTCCCTCCATCAATTTTTTAATTACCGCATTTGTCTGCTGTCCTCCACACCATCAGCACTTTCTTTGCGTTAATAAGACGGGCGCCACGTGAGGTCTCCTCCATTTCTCAACCCCCAGACCGTTCGTGCCCCTCCACTCCCTCTCGACTGCCCATTCACTCTGCAGCCCATGCATGCCAAAGCGGCATGGCCGTAACAGTAACGCTGAAGAAGGGGTCAATGCGCCTGTGGTGGCGGTGGTACGACTCCAACGAGTGAAACGTGTGGGAGCCCATGAAGCGCAAAACCAACCAACGAGCAAACAAACAAGTCTAACCACCCACCCCATGCTGGCATCAAAACAATCCTCACGCCGTTGGCTTCAGTAGAGACAAAAAAAAAAAATGTCGATCAACATGTAATTCACCCTATTTCAATTATCTCGTGTGCCTTATTTATGTTTCCCCCTTCCCATGCCCTTCCATGCATTTCATTCCTTTCCTTCGGTGTTTCTCGTCTCCTCTTCTTTTGCGTGTTACCATGGGTCCCCTCGCTGTGGAAACCGTGACAACACAGGAGGCACCACACACATACAACTCACCTCCGTACCCTTAACGCACGTCAGCAAGATTAATGCACACACACACAGAAACACCCGCTCTCAATTACACTGAATCCCCCGCCTCATCACTTTCTCCCCTTATTCCTCTTCCTCAATGCCGTGCGCAACTCTTCCTGTTGCGATCGCAGTTCGTCTAATTTGCGCTGCAACTCGTTGCGTTCACTTCTCAGTTCCATGGCATCTCGTTCATCTTGCGCAATCTTCTCGCGCCAGCTTCTCTGTTTGCTTTCCTTAATCTTTGCTTCCATCATGTCAGCCTTCTGGTTGGTTTCGTCGACATTCTGCCGGGCCGCATCAACGCGCCGTCGGGCACTTGGCTGTTCAGAATGCGCATCCGCAGCGTCTCCTTGTGTAATCACATCTGTACGTAATTGTTTCAGCGCGGCATTGTACTCTGCCTCCAACGCGGTAAAAACACTCTCTGCAGCATCATCTTTGCTCTCCCTCTCCGCAATCATCACACGTAGTTCTTCCTCGCGTTGACGCTCCTCCCCTAATTTCTGCTGCAGCGCTGCCATTTCCTCCTTCACGGCGGACTGCTTCATGTAGACGTTTTCCACCTCCTTATTTCTCTCACAGAGCTGACTAGTAAGCTTATCATGATGAGCCTTCAAAACCTTCATATTTTTCTTCCACACAGCGCGATGCAGGGCGCGTTGGACGGTGGCGGCGTTGAACTGCCGCATGACGCTACTCAGTACCTCCTTGTTTTTCGCCGTCTGACGCGTCATGGATCGAGATTCCCTTTCTAGTTGCTCTGCAAATTCCTGCTTTTGCCGCAGGGCCTCCCGCAGCGAGTCCATGTTCTGTCGTTGAATGCGCACCGCATTGTGTAACTCACCAGCCTTGTTTGCCATACCGCCCGTCACCGTCGTCAAGGGGTCATTCACTTTTACAAGCGTCACTAAGTTTCGAGCTTTACTGCTCCACTGCAGGGTTGCGAGAGTGTCACCGTAGTTCTTCACAAGTGGACTGAGTGTCGCTACCATGGTGGTACGCGCATTGCCCCCAATACTGTCACTGAGCAACCACGTCAGTACGCTATCGCGGAAGGGGACTTGCGGCAGTGTACGCTCTTGATAGTATGCCCCGGTTATTTCCGCCTTTGCTTGTTCCATAAGGATATTCTGCCGCTCTGTCAGATTGTCAATCACACGACGGAGAGCCAACAAAGATGTGTTAATCGCCGCGGACTCCTTCACGTAGTCCTGGAACCCACCGCGCTCCGAGCCTGCGAGGTCGACAAGATTGATGCGTCCTGCCCGGCAACGCACGGTCGGCCGTGAGTATCGGTCCTTCGCCGGTATTGTCTGTTCCTGAATGACCGTCAACTGAAATATGGCATGACTGCGGCTAGACTGATTGTGTACCGCCGTGGCGCACGTCGTTCGATGCATGGAGCCACGTTCCAGAAGCAAACAACACTGTGCCCAGTTCTCCACCTGGTACTTTGTCACACCCTCCACAAAGGGCCCACTGTATGGATCCTGACGAATCCGAGCGTCCTGCAGCTTCTCATTACCCTTCGAGTTCTTCAGTGCGGGATCCAGTAGGTCCCGCACACGCTCCATGTAAATTTCCACAAAGCTCACCTCAACGCGGAACCGCACACGGTCATGCAGTTCAGTTTTCTTTGCCTCTTCCGCTTGTTTAGTGGTGAGAATTAAAAACAAATCATTTGAAACACGTGGTATAATGCCTTCTTCCCCGTCACCCCCACACGACGCATTGGGATCGTATAGACCCATCATTGTATACGTCTTGCCACTTCCGGTCTGTCCATACGTAAGAATGCAGCTGTTAAATCCATCAAACACGTGCGGCACAAGATCCTTCCCGATAAGTTCATACACATCCTTTTGCGTCGCATAGTCACTGCGTTTCGTGTCGTGAAAAGTGTGCACTATGCGGTGCTCTGGCGGGATGGACCACAGACTGGCGTCAAACTCGAACTGTGCCTTGGGCGCCCATCCATCCTTGGGGTCCAAAATCACCGTCTTGTTATCTGTCATTTCCACCACAGAACGACGTTCCTGTCCTTCCATCTCGGCAAGTTCCTCTGCAATGAAAGGGCGCACGCGGGAAAAGACTTTAAACCGTGTAATCTCAGTCACACGTGAACGAAATGCATCCGAAGATTCATGGGCATCGTCCATTATAGTGTTTCGTCCACTGGCATTCGCATTGGGCACACTCTTAGCATCACGCTGCTGTGGGCGTCGCGGTGTTACTGTGCGGGTAGGAATCGTCTTCTTCACCGGTGTTGTGGGGGCCTTTCGAGTGGGTCCAGAGATGAGTTTGGGTTCAGTCACAGTCATTTTTCTTTTTAATGGTATTTTTTTTTTCCTCTATTTTGTCCTTTTTTTTTTTTATGTTGTTGTTGTTGTTTCCTTTTGTGTGTTTTCCTTTCAGCTCCGAAGAGCAGACATGAGGTGGAGAGAAGCGATACCACAACACGATAAGAGGCATATATGATACGCATGTACATGTGGGGCGGGGGCGGGGTATCCAACGGCTGTATTGACACCTCCGCAGTCACGTGCGTTGAGCCACACCCATACACGCTCACAACAGCATCAACCGTCATTCTTGTTGTTGTTGTTGTTGTTGATAATGATGATGATTTTTTGTCTTTTTTGTTGCGCATCATGAATGTTGCTGTTTCATCCAGACAAACAAACAAAAAAAAAAAAAAAAGGGGGGGAAAAAAAAACTTTTCATGCATGTGTGGGTCTCAAGAGGGTTTTATCCACTCCTCAAATAATTTTACATCAATGATGAGAGGGAATTTCATCTATTCATCCATACACACGCAGAAACACACAAACTCCCTCTCTCTCTCTCCATCTCTCTCTCTCTCCTTGTTTATTTTCACTGCCACACGATTATCTCTTCTTCTTTGGTGGAGCAATATCCACCGTGAAGTCAACCTCCATGTCAACTGCGTTCTGAATGGTGCGTGTGTCCTCGGCGCGGAGAAAGGCGGTGGTCTCAAGTAGTGGCAATGCACACGTCGCCTCTATCGTGCATCGAAAACAGTCCAAATTTGAGCAAAACTGATCAACGGCGTCGCCGACAAGCCGTCGCATTCCAGAGAATAGGCGAGCACTGTATTCTTCCTTAACAGAAACCTCCGTCACGGAGTCAGTTGTCATGTTCATGTCGTTGAGAGCTGGCGACTTGTCGGTGGAGCCAAAGCGGCCAATATTGGATTCAATCGATGCACTTCTTTTTCCTTTGTTGGATGCCTTGCCTTGGGACTTTCCTCCCCCTCCCCCTCCTATTGCTGCGGCATTGCCGCCACCGCCGCCAGCGACCTTGCGTCCCCCTCCTGCAGCAGCGGCGGCCCCAGTAATACCACCACTACCGCTACCCAACACGCCAGTTGGGAAGCGCAAACCGTTTTGCGGCACGCGGGGATCGCGCACTCCAAGGATGAGCAAGATGCTGTCGTCCAACTCTCCCGTCTGCCGAGCCAGCGCCGAGAATGCGACCATCCCAGCGACACGTTGCAAGAGAAGATCAAGCGGTTCATCTTCCTGCTCACTCACAATCGCTGCACGCAGAAGAATGTTAAAACCTTCCCGCAGCGTGTTACGAGATACAGCGTCATGCAACATGCAAAGATCACCCTGTATTGTTTGCACCGATCCATCCCATTCCTCATGGTGGAGTGGGCTTTCCAGTGCCGACATCGTTCGAGCAAGATTTTGATGTAGAGCCGTTAGCCGCCCGTAGACGGCAATATTGAATGGGATACGCATAGCGGTATACGTTGAGTCGTGCCATAACTTGCGCCACCTTGCAATCAGCGCATCTTGAGCCTCTTTCGCGGCCTTGGCAGCATCCAAACAATCCTGAGTTGCCTTTGCAATTTCAGCCGCCTCGTACACATGCGGGTGCGCTGCCAAGGCATTGATTAACTCACGCTGTGTATCAGCCACGGCCTTGGCCTCGAGTGCAGCCGCGACAGGGCGTGAGATTGTCTCAACTGATGGCCCACCATCTTGTATAAAGGCACGCAGCTCCAGAATAACGCGAGAGGAAGCAGCGGGGACCATAAGCAGTTCGTAATACCGTAGGAAGCAACCAGGGAATGCTGCTCGTACAGAAAAGGAAAATGTCTTTTCCTCATCTGGCAGAATAACGCCATCCAGCTGGGCGGACAAAAAAAAAAAGGATTTGGATTGCGCCGACTTCTTCGCCAGGGAGCGAAGAGAGACGTTCAGTTGGTGTGGCTTTCTTTCCCCTTTTTGATTGGACCATACCGAGGACTGCGGAGTCCCCTTCGTGTAGATGTCATTCTCCCCGCTCGTTGCCGACACTGGCACCTCCTCCTTTTCTTTCGAACTCTCCAACGAGAAGAACCCGGCCTTTTCTTCATAAATCGTTTCATCGCGGCCTTTCTTCTCTTCTTCCTCCTCCTTCTTCTCCACCTCACTGTCAACCTTTTCATTGCCAATTTTGCCATCCAGGGCGGTGGCCGGTTGAAACGGTGCCCAACTGTAGTATACCGTCGTCGTGCCGTTGTTATGAATCTTCACTGTACCATGGGCAAGTTCCCCTGGCCGTGCAAAAAAGAGGACACGTGATGTGGAAATCTCCAAAGACGGAGCCCCCGCAACAGTTTCCTCCGTGGACACGGTGAAGTTGACATCTTTGCTCTCCCCCTTACTGTCTGTTTCCTCCACACCGTGAGAGCAGCTCTTCTCTTGTCCATTCTGCTCTTTTTGCAGCACTTGCTGTTGTTTCCCTTTGGGTGACGGTGGCGGCACGTGCGCGACAGCCGGCAGAGATTTCCTCGCCGCCGCAACCTTATCCTCCGGCTTGGACGTCCATGGGGGTGGCTGGCCACACACCTCCAAATAGGCCCGCGGTAACAATAAGTGGGGCATATTCCGTTCAATCAGCGGGTAATATTGCTTAAACCTCTCTTTGTAGTAGCTCGAGTCACGGAAGGAGACTGGGAATGCACCCGTGGATGGCCGCTGCAACTCCCTGCTTGTCGCCTCATTCAGAATTTGCTCTTCTGGGAAGACGACGCGGGTATTTGTCAGGTGCTCCACATCCAGACGCCGTTTGTCCGTTAGCTTCCCGTACAACGCGTATGGAAAGTTCGTTTGTCCCGCTTTGACATATCGAATGGCCCCGTTATCTTCGGTGGTACGCAGCGTACTTTCCCACGTGTAATACCCTGAAAAGACGTGAGATGGGGTCGCGTTGTTTACCACCGCAACCTCTTCCTCACGCACACGAGCCCGGTAAGCCCCTTGTGACATGTTCATGCAGGCTCCACGTATCTGGCCGTTGTTGCCGACGCGGCGGCGGATCTTCTCCTGCACAGCGGCCCATATGCGTTTTTGTTTCTCCCATGTTTCTAACGCCTTTTCCTGAAGATCGCGTTGATCGTACAAATCAGAGGTAACGGTATTCCGCTGAGAATCTCCTGCAGGCACCCTCGCGAACTGAGACATTCTCTACCACTTTGTTTCTTACTACAGAAACGAAAAAAAAAAGAAACAGCAGCAGCAGGAATAGAAGAAAAAGGATAATGATCGCTGAATCGCAGAATTTAAAAGTGGGTCCGCAAAAAAAAAAAAAAAAAAAAAAAAACGCGTGTTGTGTGACATCTATACATGCATGTATATACAACAGCATCTAAGTGAATATATAATTGGAAACAAACATTAAGAGGAAGATGCCACCACTCCATTCTTTTTTTTTTTCTTTTTCTTTTTCTTCGTCCTTTCGAAAACTCTCTCACTTTATTTTCACGTCTCCTTCTCGCCTTTTTGTTTTCTTGTCTTTTCACTGGCTCTCTATTGTGGTGTTCCCTGGCGACGACACACTCGCACCGACGCAATGCCCAACAGCCTCGTAAAGATCCAATATGTTGCCAGAATGAACCGCACGTTCACTCTCTGCAATGACCTGAAGCACAGGCCGCGATCGTGCCATGTGATGTTGAATAAACCGAAGAAACATATGGATCGACGGATACACATGCAAGTAGAGGTCATTCAGTACACATCTTCGATGCAGTGCTCTTGTGGGGCACACCTGAAGCTGCTGACCGAGATTCCTCGTGTGTTCCTCCACCGCCTCCAGCGCCTCCGCCAGCTCAGCCACAATGTTGTCATATGAGACAAAGAACAAAACGACATCGGATCGCCGCACCTCTTCTACACCCCAACGCCGCGTGGATTCCACCTTTTCCGGTGGAGCCCACGGATTCGGGGCTTTCCCCCCACGGTTCACAGAATGCGCTGAGGCCGAACGACACGTCGCAGCACCGTGAAAGTCCTCCTTCCCAGAGGCGTGCTTGTAGTGGTGTGCCAGCCGCAGAATCACACGAATACTGTCCAGGTAAAACGTGCCTCCCATTTGCTCCGCACGCTGCACCACGCCCAGTTGAATTGACGATGTCACGGTGGTGACGGCGGTGGCAGTAACAGCGTGGTTGTTCTGTGGATTTTGACGCGCACCGTGTAAGTTTGGCATGCGATGCAGACCCGTCGCAGCCCCCAACGGATGCCCCTGCACCATGGAGCCGGATTTCACCGTCCCCCGGGCGTTACCGCGGAACAGGCGAGTCAACGCGTGAAGCATGAAGCTGCGCCACTGTTTCCCAGTGGACAGGGAACGGACACCCTCAGCGTCATTCAACGGCCTCGTCTTCTTCGAGTTCCCACCATTAGTGGCATCCCCTCCATCATCATCATCATCCGTCTCCGCGGAAGACTCTACAAGATTCTTTTCGGGTAGGGAAATATTAATGCCGCGGGGATTTCGGCGCGGCACCATCACGGTGGGATACTCGTCTTCAAAGTACGAATCGTCTACACCGGCAAGGATGGCCCTGACTCGCTTCTGCACCTCCTCCTGCGTCACGGGCGAAAGCCGACAAAAAACCACACGATGTATTGCCGCACGCAACTCCCTATTTGCCAGACCGTAACAAATCCCTAGTGCACAGACAATTTCTGTAAGCATTTGACGCACCATACTGCTTCCATTGGCTCCTTCACGCAACCCCGACGCCGCGTCTCCAATTAACAATGGTTGTTTTTCCTCTTGTTGCTGTTGTCGTCGTGTTTGTGTTAGGGATGTTGTCGCAAGGGATTGCACAAGGGAGAATAGGGCGTTAGGATTCGAAACCAGAAAGGAGCCCACAGTGGCGGGTGAGACAAGAGAGAACCACCTCCAGCAGAGAGCCGCCAATGCCGCATACGTCGCCATGCTTGATGGCCACAACAACATGCTGGAAAGTTGCTCCCCAACCCGTGTCTTGAGAAGCAAATCAGATATAAACCCGACACACTGCGTCGTGTGCTGCTCCATGATTCTAATAAGCCATTGGCAGCCAGTGGCTACAAGTTCCCCCCACTGGCCACAAAGAAGCTCCTCCATCACATGAGGTGTGCCAGAGTATTCCTGTAGAACTGCAAAGGCCGCCGGGTTTCCTGCAAGTCGAACAACAAATTTTAAAAACAAACACAGCGCAGTAACCGTTGCATTGGGGTGAGACACGCCAACTCCAACACGTGCACCCATTCTAATGTAATGTACAACGCCATGATAAGCTCGAGATGCCACAAGCACCTCGGCCGCACCATCCACGGTGCCCAGGGCGAGGAAAATGTTAGCTACATCACAGGCCTGCGTTGGGGTAGCCTGAGGGAGGCAAGACAGGATTGCGTGGAGAAGTTTAGGATGAGTGAGTGCCGCAGCCGCGGTTGTTGTGGACAAACTTACCATCATCATAAGGAGTTCCAATGCACCGCCTATAATGGAGCTTCGGGTCTCTGTCAGTGTGGTATTACGTCCTTTTCTCATTTTCTTCCCAGAATCAACTCGATTCAATTCCATCACGACATCCCCCACTCCCTCAGTGTCGCCATCCTCAAGTGCGACCGAGAGCGTTACCCCCAGTGCGTGAAGGGCATTGTGCTCCACAGTCAGGAAGTCATGCACCAGGACAGCAGCCGCCTTTTTGCCCCATACCGTGATGAGTGAACCAACAATAGCCTGCATCGCCCCGAGGGCTATCACCTGCGTCCGCTCACTTGGAATGGGCGCCACAGCAAAGGCCAAAATATACGGCAGCACACCCTCTACATCAGACAAGATGGTATTCTTATTTTCTGGCAGGGACTCCAGCACTTTTAGCAGGTCACGTTCCGCGGAGATGGGTATGGCACCGAGTTGAAGATGTTGCTGTAAAAGGCTCCATTGAGCCTGCAGTGCTAGCACCAGCGGCGTCGGGCGTGCTGCGGAAGAAGGGGAAGAAGAAGATGATGATGAAAAAAACGGCGACGGACGTTGGTGCTTTGGGTCTGATAAAGTCATCCTGCTGGTGGGATGGTAATTCCTCTGCCGCCGCTTAGCGGGTGACAATCTTCCCACATGTGCCATTGCGGTCCCTAATGACACCCCGCCGCCGTGCCGCTATCGCCTTTTCCTATCGGAAACGT